TGAGGAACAGTCATAACAAAAGCTTCCTGACAAGAACATTCCGCCTCTATACCCTGTCGTGATCATAGAAAGCAAAGCGCATAGCCTGTCGAGGCGAAAGATCCGTGCTTTTTTGGAGCTTATTGAAGCTTCATCTCCTAATTTGACCACTATGTTGACGAATGTAAATCAGGTCAATGGAAAGCTGGGGAGTTTTGAGAGTTTTATTGGAAGGTTGGGGGATTGTGGAATGGCTCTGACCTCTAATCTTGATAGTATCCGAGGTCTCGGTTTTAATGATAATAACGTTGTCTCTAAATGTGATATCCTTATAAAGAAGGTTGAAACTCTGATAGTGAATGTTGAAACTCTTGTATCGAAGTCTAATTCCCGGGACTCGAAGATAGAAACTAAACTTGATGAGGAACAGTCATAACAGAGTCTTCCTGACAAAAACATGCCGCCTCTATCCCCTGTCGTGATCATAGAAAGCAAAGCGGATAGCCTGTCGAGGCAAAAGATCCGTACTCTTTTGGACCTTATTGAAGTTACAGTAACTAATTTGGCCACTATGTTAACGAATGTAAATCACGTCAATGGAAAGCTGGGGAATTTTGAGAGTTTTATTGGAAGGCTGGGGGATTGTGAAAAAGGCTATGACCTCTAATCTTGATACTATCCGAGGTCTCGATTTTAATGATGATAACGTTGTCTCTAAATGTGATATCCTCATAGAGAAGGTTGAAACACTTATAGTGAATGTTGAAACTCTTGTATCCAAGTCAGATACCCGGTACTCGAAGATAGAAACTGACTTTGATGAGGAACAATCAGAACAAAATCTTCTTGACAAGAACCTGCTGCCTCTATCCCCTGTCGTGATCATAGAAAGCAAAGCGGCGCCTATCGAGGCGAAAGATCCGTACTCTTTTGGAGCTTATTGAAGTTTCAGCTGCTAATTTGGCCACTATGTTTACTAATGTAAATCAGGTCAATGGAAAGCTGGGGAGTTTTGAGAGTTTTATTGGAAGGCTGGGAGATTGTGACATGGCTCTGACCTCTAATATTGATAATATCCGAGGTCTCGGTTTTAATGATGATAACGTTGTCTCTAAATGTGATATCCTCATAAAGAAGGTTGAAACTCTTATAGTGAATGTTGAAACTCTTGTATCCAAGTCTAATTCCTGGGACTCGAAGATAGAAACTGAATTTGATGAGGAACAGTCATAACAAAATCTTCCTGACAAGAACATGCCGCCTCTATCCCCTGTCGTGATCATTGAAAACAAAGCGGATAGCCGGTCGAGGCGAAAGATCCGTACTCTTTTGGAGCTTATTGAAGTTTCAGCTGCTAATTTGGCTACTATGTTAACGGATGTAAATCACGTCAATGGAAGGCTGGGGAGTTTTGAGAGTTTTATTGGAAGGCTGGGGGATTATGGAATGGCTCTGACCTCTAATCTTGATAGTATCCGAGGTCTCGGTTTTAATGATGATAACGTTGTATCTAAATGTGATATCCTCATAAAGAAGGTTGAAACTCTTATAGTGAATGTTGAAACTCTTGTATCCAAGTCTGATTCCTAGGACTCGAAAATAGAAACTGACTTTGATGAGTAACAGTCATAACAAAATCTTCCTGACAAGAACATGCCGCCTCTATCCCCTGTCGTGATCATAGAAAGCAAAGCGCATAGCCTATCGAGGCGAAAGATCCGTACTCTTTTGGAGCTTATTGAAGTTTCAGCTGTTAATTTGCCACTATGTTAACGAATGTAAATCACGTCAATGGAAAGCTGGGGAATTTTGAGAGTTTTATTGGAAGGCTGGGGGATTGTGAAACGGCTCTGACCTCTAATCTTGATACTATCCGAGGTCTCGATTTTAATGATGATAACGTTGTCTCTAAATGTGATATCGTCATAAAGAAGGTTGAAACTCTTATAGTGAATATTGAAACTCTTGTATCCAAGTCATATTCCCGGGACTCGAAGAAAGAAACTGACTTTGATGAGGAACAGTCATAACAAAATCTTCCTGACAAGAACATACAGCATCTATCCCCTGTCGTGATCATAGAAAGCAAAGCACATAGCCTGTCGAGGCGAAAGATCCGTACTTTTTTGGAGCTTATTGAAGTTTCAGCTCTTAATTTGACCACTATGTTGACGAATGTAAATCACGTAAATGGAAAGCTGGGGAATTTTGAGAGTTTTATTGGAAGGCTGGGGGATTGTGAAATGGCTCTGACATTTAATCTTGATACTATCCGAGGTCTCGGTTTTAATGATGATAACGTTGTCTGTAAACGTGATATCCTCATAAAGAAGGTTGAAACTCTTATAGTGAATGTTGAAACTCTTGTATTCAAGTCAGATTCCTGGGACTCGAAGAAAGAAATTGACTTTGATGAGGAACAGTCATAACAAAATCTTCCTGACAAGAACATACCGCCTCTATCCCCTGTCGTGATCATAGAAAGCAAAGCGCATAGCCTGTCGAGGCGAAAGATCCGTACTTTTTTGGAGCTTATTGAAGTTTCAGCTCCTAATTTGACCACTATGTTGACGAATGTAAATCAGGTCAATGGAAAGCTGGGGAGTTTTGAGAGTTTTATTAGAAGGCTGGGGGATTGTGGAATGGCTCTGTCCTCTAATCTTGATAGTATCCGAGGTCTCGGTTTTATTGATGATAACGTTGTCTCTAAATGTGATATCCTCATAAAGAAGGTTGAAACTCTTATAGTTAATGTTGAAACTCTTGTATCTAAGTCTAATTCCTAGGACTCGAAGATAGAAACTGAATTTGATGAGGAACAGTCATAACAAAATCTTCTTGACAAGAACATGCCGCCTCTATCCCCTGTCGTGATCATTGAAAGCAAAGCGGATAGCCGATCGAGGCGAAAGATCTGTACTCTTTTGGAGCTTATTGAAGTTTCAGCTACTAATTTGGCCACTATGTTGAAGAATGTAAATCACGTCCATGCAAAGTTGGAATGTTTTGAGAGCTTTATTGGAAGGCTGGTGGATTGTGAAAAGGCTCTGACCTCTAATATTGATACTATCCGAGGTCTCGGTTTTAATGATGCTAACGTTGTCTCTAAAGGTGATATTCTCATAAAGAAGGTTGAAACTCTTATAGTGAATGTTGAAACTCTTGTATCCAAGTCAGATTCCCGGGACTCGAAGGTAGAAACTGACTTTGATGAGGAACAGTCATAACAAAATCTTCATGACTAGAACCTGCCGCCTCTATCCCCTGTCGTGATCATAGAAACCAAAGTGCATAGCCTATCGAGGCGAAAGATCCGTACTACTCTTTTGGAGCTTATTGAAGTTTCAGCTGCTAATTTGGCCACTATGTTAACGAATGTAAATCACGTCAATGGAAAGCTGGGTAATTTTGAGAGTTTTATTGGAAGGCTGGGGGATTGTGAAACGGCTCTGATCTCTAATCTTGATACTATCCGAGGTCTCGGTTTTAATGATGATAACGTTGTCTCTAAATGTGATATCCTCATAAAGAAGGTTGAAACTCTGATAGTGAATGTTGAAACTCTTGTATCCAAGTAAGATTTCCGGGACTCGAAGATAGAAACTGACTTTGATGAGGAACAATCAGAACAAAATCTTCCTGACAAGAACATGCCGCCTCTATCCCCTGTCGTGATCATAGAAAGCAAAGCGGATAGCATGTCGAGGCGAAAGATTCGTACTCTTTTGGAGCTTATTGAAGTTTCAGCTGCTAATTTGGCCACTATGTTGACGAATGTAAATCACATCCATGGAAAGCTGGGGAGTTTTGAGAGCTTTATTGGAAGGCTGGGGCATTGTGAAAAGGTTCTGACCTCTAATCTTGATACTATCCGAGGTCTCGGTTTTAATGATGACAACTTTGTCTCTAAATGTGATATTCTCATAAAGAAGGTTGAAACTCTTATAGTGAATGTTGAAACTCTTGTATTCTAGTTATATTCCCGGAACTCGAAGATAGAAACTGACTTTGATGAGGAACAGTCAGAACGAAATCTTCCTTACAAGAACCTGCCGCCTCTATCCCTTGTCGTGATCATAGAAAGCAAAGCGGATAGCCTGTCGAGGCGAAAGATCCGTACTCTATTGGAGCTTATTGAAGTTTTCAGCTGCTAATTTGGCCACTATGTTAACGAATGTAAATCAGGTCAATAGAAAGTTGGGGAGTTTTGAGAGCTTTATTGAAAGGCTGGGGATTGTGAAAAGGCTCTGACCTCTAATCTTGTTTCTATCCGAGGTCTCGGTTTTAATGATGATAAAGTTGTCTCTAAATGTGATATCCTCGTAAAGAAGGTTGAAACTCTTATAGTGAATGTTGAAACCCTTGTATCCAAGCCAGATTCCCGAGACTCGAAGGTAGATTCTTTTGCAGGTCAAATTAAGTTGCTTGAAACCAAATCTGACTCTCAAAACAACTAGCTCGATAGGATTCTTGAACATCTCAATCGTAACCCATATGTTTTGTATGCTCAGCAAATTGTTAACGATTTCTTGCTGCTTCTTTTTTCCTAATTTTCTCTTGCATTGTGATGTTTTATTGTTACTGATTTTTTATTTGTTTGTTTTTGTAGATTGGAAGCTTGTTCCTGAAACTGCTGGAAGCTGCTGATTTCTGTGAATTTTGTCTAGAAGGAGCTTTTTTGTATTCAAATCTTTGCCTCGGAACTCATATGTTGCCGTTTTTGTAGGATTGTATTGTTGATTGATTTTCTGCTGCTTGTTGTGTCAAACTATTTTGTACACGTTGCGTTATTCTGAAGTAGGAGTTATATTGTTGATTGTTTTTCTAGCACGCTGTTATGAACAGCTATACTGCTGTTATAAACTACTTTCTTCACAATTTGTTGTTATGAAATATCGCAGTTACTGGAGGATTATGTTGTGCATGGTTTTTAGGCTCTGTATGTGTTGTTCTTTATATATTTAGTTCACATGGCCTTTCGTTACAACGTGTTTGCAGGGAAATTCTGCTGCTAATGCTAATTACGCACGACATTCTCGTTTATTTCATATATTTTTTTCTTGTTTGTCTCTTTAAGAAATAAACTATTCTCTCTATCTTCTTGATGCTTGTTGTAATAATATTCAGCTGATTGTTAATATAACTCCATAGCTCTCAGTCGAAAAACATGGAAAGCATGTCGAACATTGTACCATCTTTGTCTTTATGACACGCCAGTGAATACGTAACAATTTCAAAAGTACCATTTCGGTCTTAATTCTTGTTCCTCTTCTGTCAAATCCCTATACTGATACCATTCACCTCCAGCTGTACCTACCGGTAAAGGGGGCCGTAGAAAAATCTCAACAGGCTTTGGAACATGGACAATCAGATCTATCTCACCACCCTCTTCTACTTCACTTAACTCCGATGATTTCAAAGATAAGTTAAATGGCTCCACGGATATCCACCCAAGCCCGGATATTGCCACGTCACAAGCAGGGCTGGAAAAAGTAAATAGAAGCAAATTAGTAGGGGCCAAAAAAAGGAGAAAAAAAAACTTGATCCATCAGTAAAAGCACTTATCACCTACCTCTTAACATTGTCATATTTTAACTGCAACTCGCGTTTCACTTCAAGACCCGTCCAGTTATCTTCCTTGTGTTTTCCAGTTGGAGGTGTCAAGAGTATCCCAACTTCTTTCTGCAAATTGTAATTGAAAATTAGGAATAAGGTGAAAAAAAAGAAGACGACGTTAAGTTCTGCAATGTGGTTTTGGTCTGACCTGGTAAAATTCATCGGCTTTTTCAGTAGGTACCACATGAAGTGGCAGGGCTTTGGGTCCGTAGAATGTCAGACGTGTTTGTGGGAGAACCTGTTATTATTAATAGTCGAAGCAAAATGGTTAGCCACGAGCGATTCTTGGTTCATATGCATTGAAAGTACGAGATCAAGAACCTTGATGATGTCAATTCGGACAAGACCTCCCCAAAAGATTGAGAATCCAATTAAACCGTTTGATCTGATTTGCTCCGCTAATGAGTTGTCCAAATTCATATGAGGGTTCTACGTTATACCACAAGGAGCATCAATATTAGTGTGTGTGTGTGTGTGTATATAAAAATTATATATATAAAAAAAAAAAAACTCGACATACTGGGAATGATTGTCCTCGAAGTCGACTTCGAGGAGCGAGAGCAGGTAGATCCTCTGAATGGACCACAGCAGCTTGCCTATGGTGCAGATGAACTCCAGGCGTGTCAAATAACTTCTAAAGAAAACGAAAAAAAGATACAATTCTCGTAAGTTTGGAGCTTCATCAACAGGAATACACATGAAACATATATCGATAGAGAAAGTATATGCACAACTTAATTAGCAAACCAGGACGGTTCAATTTATTCTAAATTATGAAACGATGGGGAAAGGGTGCAGTTAAGATCAGGCGCCATTAGAGAATGTGGATTGGATAATACAGTACTTACTCCTCCGCCTAAGAAAGCATCGATCTGGATCGGACCCAAAGTGGTTCCTGGAACAGCAGATTGAATTGGTTTGTATTTTCTCGCTGCAGCAGCTACTGGATCCTTGTAAGACAACATTTCTGATGACAAACAGAAAACGTACGATTATAAAGTATACCGTAACTAAGATATAAAGCAACTAGTTGAAGATTCAAAAGTTCCAAGTATCTCATACCCTAATGCCAAACTCCAGAAATCGAAGATACAAAAAAATAAAAAAATAAAATATATAAGTGAGATTAGCTTACTCAGTACAGCATTGATGAAAGCAGACTTTCCAACGTTAGCTGAACCCTGTTAAATAAATGAAAGTACTATGTAGAAGAACTTAGATGTACGACGACAGAGCAGTAAATTGATAAACATAGGATAAACTTACCAGGATGTAGGTGTCCCTTCCCTGCAACGAGATAACCATAGTTAAGTACTTTTTTTACTTAAAGAAATAATCATAAACGGGAACGAAAACAGTGATGCTATACATCATCCAGCAAATAGAATACAAGAAAACAATCGGAACAAAAGCCAACAGTGTCACGAAACCAAGTTGCAACGCACGTTACTCTGCATGATTTTTATTACCAGATAAATCTTTTTGAATGACGATTTACCAAGACAGTTCAAGACGTAAACGAGACCCAAAAATATGATGCAACCCACCTTCTTCTCCTTTTGAATTTCTGAGACCACTCCCGTAATGCCCACCAAGGACTTCGAACTTGTCAAGTGTACACTCAGGACGCTGTATAGTGAGCATTTTGTTGTCACAAAGAAATTAACATTGTTAGCATCAAAAAACAATATCGGAACTGCCGATCTCAAGGCAAATAACAAGAATGCGACATGACAAGGTCGATTCAGAAACTCATTCGAAATTGTACGGGTATCAATTTGAACACGCTGTAATCAAGATTTACTAAGAAGCAACTCACTTCAATTTCTTCTTCATTGTTGCCTCCACAACCCAATCACCAACACAATTAAGATCAGTTCCTTTCGCAAGAAGATCAATCTAAAATCAACAGAAAAACAATGTCACATATATATACTAAAAAAAAGGCGTAAACAGGAATTATTCGTAAATCAAAATAATACTAATCTCCATTACCTTAGTTATGACTAAGATAATGGGATTTGCACCAGCAAGATCACGAATACGAGCCAAAAAACTGCCGTTGAAGTCCACTATATCAACCTGCATACAATTAGCCACAACATCTTCAATAAGTGATAAGACAAAGTACAGAGAGAAGCACTCTGTCAAAATCGGAAATCTCGAAAAAACTGTTCCTATCTTCATAATATTATTACCAATTTCACTATAAGAGCTTTCTCGTGACGCAAATGGGACAGTTTTTCGCGAAGCTCTTCGGCGGTAACAAATTGTTTTCCACCAGAGTATCCACCATTTCCACCAACAGCAGTAATCATATTCCCGTGAGACAAAAGCTTGCACCTCCCACACAACATTGTTCTCATCTGTCTATGTTTCTTCTTCTGCAAAAAACACCCAAACAAACACTTACAGCGACAATATATCAAACACCTTAAGCACAGCTGGTATTTCAATTTTCAATACACTGATTCTTACCAGGGTATAAGTTTCCGGTTCGACATAACCCGGAGCATCGGTTTCGAAGGTCTGCAATGGAGCTCCACAGCCGTAGCAGCTGGGAACACTAACAGAAGAAGACTTCACGGCCTTGTCTTTAGCCTTCTTCTTTTTCTTTACTTCTGCGAGAACGGTGGCGGAAGCAGCTGAAGATTGGTGGCGTTGGAGGAAGAGATCGCCTCGGGTCGGGGCGGAGGGTCCGGACCCATCGACGTCGGATATGGATAGTGGGTAATCGGGTGTATCGGTTTGGGTGGATTTGCAAATGATGAGAGCCGGCAGTTTCTGAGAGTGCGATTTGGGGAAAATAGGTTTGGGGTTAGGGTTTTGGAAGGGGTGAGGGGTGAGGAATGGGGAGCGGGAAGATAGAGAGAGGGGTTTAGGCGCCAACGCCATTGTTGATTACTATACTGAGATACTGTAGTTGGAAGCCTTGAAGATGATGGATAAGCGTCGAGATTTTATGAAAAAGTCGCTAAGTAAAAACACGCTTTTTGGAAAGATACAACTATTCGTTACACGCGCTTTTTGTTCAACATTGTAGAGGTTCTTTTTTCTTTTTTCCCTTTTCCCTCTCAATATTTTTTGTAGGCAAAGTCGAAATTTAGGAAATTTAGGTTGTTACTTGAACTAGGAAGATACGATTAGTTAAATGGTTGACGAGTGATGTTTTCGTCTCTATAAATTTATAGATATGCTAGCTGAACGAATACAAACAACTAAGTGGCCACGTAATTTATTGCAGACACATTTACCATTTATCAAAAATTATTAACTTGTGTCGTCTTTTCGATTTGCATCTCTTTATCTAAACGGATCGACTACTATTTGAAGGTAGTCACATTGCAACTTTTCAATTTTCAAGATTCTACAGACACATACAACAAGTGTAGAGCTACAAATTTTCTTTATGCCCAAATTGTCCCTGCAGATTGACCAGAAATACCAATAGTCCACTTCTTTGTAATTTCACCAGTCTCAAAATGCCAGTACCAATATATAAAGCTCAATTTGACCCAGACATAAGCAGAATCAATGTAAGTTGTACAATGTAAAATTAAAAGGGATTCAATCTCAACGTTCGCATAGAATTCTCAAGTACCTAAGAAAATCTATAAAGCTTGCATCTCTACATGAACTTGGTCAGCCCCGTTTGTGGAGCGTGGCAGTGGTGAATCACTTGCAGAGTTCATTTGTTGGACTGGAGGTGGATTCACTATAGTCATTGGCTCGAAGGTCTCTTCCAAGAGGCGTCCTTTCAGTTCCCTGTGTTCTTGGCACAGTGCGCACCAGTGCATGCAACAGTGCACCATGCAAGGGTCACATGGCGAATTCTGCGCAGCCAAAAGAAACAAGTGTCGATAGTAAATTAAACACATAACTGGAAGCGGAGTATGTAATAAGATTTCTATCTAGTAAGAGCCTCATACAACTTTGAGTTGCACAAGAGAGAGAAAGGAATACAGAGAGTAGCACTCTTCTAGAATCAGTGCCCCGTAGACAGCTCAGCATGGAAATAAATATTCCTATTTGCTCAAATTCCGAGACGATTACTAGAGTAGCTTAATTTTATTTTTCCCTTGGCAGAAGTAAAATTCCAAAATTATGTAAAATCCATCATTTACATGTCTAACTGTCAATAGGAGAGTTTGTATCCAAGCCTCGGTTATTAGAGAGCCAAGACCTTCCTCTACTTCCTCCTTCAACAGGATTTGAATTTTTTTAAATAAATCATTATTTATATAGTAAGCTTTCTACTAATTAACAATGATCATAAGAACTTAAGATGAAAAATTGGAAATGAGTTCTAACTTAAAATATGAACATTTTGACATATACATGAGTTTGCAAACTCTGTGTTGAAAAGCAACAGATGAATTGTGTGTCAAAGAAGAGAAAAAACCTTCCGTTCGAGAACAAGTAACATTGCTAGTCTCAGTTTCCAAATGAAATGATGAAGCACACACATGACAAAAACAAATTATTTGGCACAATTTTAAGAAGTTGAAGTAGAGACAAGAAATATTAAAAATGAACTAATTTTGTAGTAAGAAATATTATATCACCTCGAGATGGTATTTCTTCTGCAATGACTGTCTCACGAGGCCAGTATATATTCCACACATCCACCAACTGAAAAACAAACCCTCAACAACGAGACATGTAGTCCTTGGGTCGATAAATCCATGTAGGGCTGCTGTTGTTGCAGCAAGGGCAATGCCACCCTCGACAAAAATGGCATGACAGATGCACGGCCCAGTCCATGGAGTATCAACTTCTCTCATTTGTTCAACATTGCGGCCGAACAAGACACACGGGCAACACAGTCCCATCCAACCTGCAGATTTATAAATGTGAGATGCTTACTTACACTCGCTGCACAAAGTGAAGAAGCAAAAGTTGTTAGAACAGACATCGGAAATAAATTGAAATGAAAACCAAAGTGTCTAGAAACAGCACATAAGGTGTATTCAATCCGCTATGTCATATAAAAAACTACTAATACAACCTCCACCATTTTTACTCCATAAATACAATCTTGATGACGAGGGCCTTAAAAGCAAAGCAAAACTTTGTCTCCCTTTCTTGACTTGTCACAGATAAGTAGCTCAAACATTTCATTCCCTCCAAAGCAACTTCTAAAATGTTGCACATTGGGATGCACACAATTGATATCAGTCATTCACGTCTTTTAGTATGTTAGACATGGATATTCACAAGACGATGTTGTACATGCTAAGATCAGGTATAACTATGAGTGTGACAGAGTAATTATCCCCTGCTTGCTATGAAACTTCAGAAGTTTCACCTTTCTTTCAGTAACTTACAACTTTCTGTGTCATTAGTGCACTCAAAAATCCCGGTAGTCCAAGGTTCATCAGCAGGTGCTTGAAAGCTTTCTGGTAAAGGCTGTCCGCATTCATTACACTTGACGACGTGCAACTGCAGAATGAACCACAGAATTAGATCAAAATCTGTCAGACGAGTTCGGGACAAAAATCTAGATTAGCATGTGTAAAATGCAAAAAGGGTTCTAATGAAGTCAAAGTCATAAATATTCAACTATTTTTTGAAAAAAATCACATACAGAATTAGATCAACTTGGAGGTATTGCAAACCATGATTTTACTTCAGCCTAGATGAATTAACACATGGTATCCACGAATACAGATCTCTTCTATTCATAAAGCAAAGCAACGAGGCCTTAGTCTCGTGACCAAGAGAAAGCATGATACAGAACTCAAGATCACTATCTGATACTTAGTTGCTTCTACACAAATTAAGACCTTTATGAAATGTTTTCCAATTACGAAGAACTATCAAGCAAAAGTACACAAAATTTACAGGTAACAGAGCACATAAACAATAATGCCAAGATAACCTGATCTGAATCCACATCATAAACCACAAAAATGTGTGCAATACTGTAATGCAACACAAAATATCAAGACGTGAGAGAAAAAACTGGATCAAACTATCAAAACATGCGCGATCCAGTGATTTTGACGGACTAATTAAGAGAGAGAATACTACCTGAGGAACATCAATCGGCTGATTAAGTTCGCCTGGATTAATATCCTCCATTGGCGCTTGCTCTTTCGTCAACTTCACATACTTCGACGGGTGACTCATTTCCTCCGCCATTCTTCAGAAGATCTGGAAAAACGAAAAAAAAAAAAAAAAACAAAATCACAACACAAATTCATTTCCTGATCTCCTAATACCAAAATTGGAGACGAAACAAATCACAAACCGAATATACGATAATAAATACGCATATAAATATACACACACACAAACATATAAACATCGATACATACAGCGCGTAGGCTAGCAGGCGATGAACGTTGTAAAGTCAACGGATGTGGAGTAGCTGCTGAGAAATGGAGAAACACAAGTATGGAAATGAAAATGGCGACGACCAAGGAAAATTTCTTGGGCGGAAATCGAAATTCTAGATTTTAGGGGGGTGGAAGTTGGAAATCTACTTGCTGGTATTATCGAAGCACTCTACAGTCTACCTACGCTCGACTTAAACACGAATGGCTCGCGGGTCGGGTCGGGTCGGGTTGAAGAGTAGTTATCTGGTGTGGGCACAACGGATGTTTATGTTGTCTATCCAATGAAGTATCTCCACGTACAAAGTAGTTTCTATGCCAAAATGAATTTGTCAACCAACTAAGGGGCTCAAAAATTCGTCCTGTGGGAATCCAAACTTTTCAATTTAGTCCTATAACTAATTAAAATATTTAATTTAATCCCAATTTCACCAATATATTTTTTTTTTCATCCACGAATTTGATACTTTTAATTTTTAAATAAGTTCACATTTCTTTAATTTACTCCAATTTTGTCCGTCGGTCATTTTTCAGCCCCCAAAAAAAATTAAATTTAAATAATTTGATAAAAGTGCAATATGATCGAATCAGCATATTCATAAAATGTCTATTATCAAACTATTTTCTAGAAATTTATATCCAAATTGAAGATCAATGGGAAATCGACATTCGTAAATGGGTAATACATGAATTTGAGCAGGAGCAATGAGATTCACAACGAACATCACTCTGTTACACAAGTATTGCAGCCAAACACCGTCTTCTCGATAATATATAAACACCCTCTACCTTATCAGGAGAATACATGAGGAATTCGTTATGAAGTAAGAACTACAGTTTCCGAAAAAGAAAAAAAAAATGTATTCTAAAGGAAAATCTAACTTGGGATTTTCAGATTGGGTACAATTCTTCGCCCACGTAAACAAACTTGATTATGTCGATTGAGAAACATTGAGCAATGGGCCCTACTAATCCAGTCTCAGACCACGCATTTTACAGACAAGGTTGGCAGTTGGAATATCGAGCTGATTTCCCGAATCGGATTTCACAATTTCCTTGAGCTGATCTGTTGGTGTTGAAGAACATGTATGGAACGTAGAAAGAACCAAAGGAGTGGGCATTGATAGAGCTGAGAGCACATTGCTCAGGTATTCAATATCAACAGATAATTGCTGGGCCCCACGGTCTGTTATTTTCTGAATCCCGCGCAACTGCTCGATATAAAGAGCAGTAGCTCCCTCAGCAACCTATCATTAAAATAGGAAAAAAGTTGGAAAAAAATTATATTATTGCAATGAAATTCACAATTAATAACATTATTTTACCTTGAACATCCATTCAGTGGCAAAGAATTGTGCCTCCTCGGCATTGGCTTCACTGTTGGAAATGCCCTCGGCTAAGGGCTCCAGTTGTTGGGGTAATGTGAGAAGGTATTCACCGACGTTTGTGACATAAGGCTGAGGGTATGCACTAAAGCTTGGAACTGGGTGAGCACTCGTCTCTTCAACGGAAGACCATACGGGGAGGCGAGACAATTCGTTGAAGTGTTGTCTAACTTTTAATATAAGTACGTCGTAAACTAGTTCATTGACTGCGTCTGCAAAAGCTGCGACTCTTTGAGAAGCCAGTGGAAGGGCGTGAAATCGAGGGTCTTTTGACTGCAAGAACCAAGAGGAAGTTGTCAAAGGTAAGGATAAATGTATACATAGCTTTGTCAGAATAGCCAGACAATATTTTATAGAATAGCCAGATAGAGTTACATTATTGAATGAACCCACTCTCTTATATAGATGGATGACTCCTAACAACGAGATAATTCTTCCCAATGAGATATACACAAGAATTAAGTAACAAACATAGATTCCTAATCTAAGACAAATTCATAAATATATTCGAACAAGCTTTATCTTAGTTAAAAATGTAGAATCACGGGATAATTACAGTTTTCATCCTCAAGTTTGCACCGATTTCACATTTGGTCCCCCATGTTCACAAAAAACATATTTGGTCCCTCGTGTTTCAATAATTTAACACTTTTGATCATTTTCATCAATTAACTGTTAGTCCGTCAGTTAAGGAAGGCAGAGATGGGAACTCGCTTGATCCGTTAGTACAAACGGACAATTGACAAAAAGGACTACAAGTGTTGAATTTTTAAACATGAGAGACCAAATGTGTTTTTTGTGCATATGGGACTCAAATGTGAAATCGGCCCAAATGTTGATTTTTTTCCAACTTGGGTTTTTTTTTCTTTTTTTTTTTTTTTTTTTTTTTTTTTTTAATACTATCAGGGAATGAGTTCAATATTATATTTGTTAGTCATTTATGCTAATTACCTGCTCCAAGAGGTTAAAAAGTCTGCGAGCCTTTTCAGGAGCATCAACAAGCCGGAGAGCCGCCACATCCAGGGAAGCTTTTCCAGCGGTGGAGAATTCCCCATTTCCATCATTGTCAGCCACATGTGATTGGTTGTGATCAAGACTTGAACCGTACACAGAGGAAGACAGATTAGTGCTCAATCGGGCGAGAGTAGACCTCAAGGAAGCTTCGAAAACTGAAGTTCGGCTTGTCAAGCAATCCGATACTGTGAGGATCTGTAAAGCGCCCTGGACGAAAGACCATTCCTCCTCGTTTGACATGAAATCGACTTTCCGTGCATGTGAAGCTGCCTCCTTTCTGTCTGATCCTGTTTCCTTCCGTGCTCCGAAAGTATCCACCACTAGATCAATTCCGCATACTGCTCTTAATGATTTTAGGTTTCCTTGAAGGGTGGAGATGTATTGTAATGTTACATCGTCAAGGGCTAGGATCAACTCATCTGCCTCAGAACCACCGGTAAAGCTAATGCATCTCTCTGTGGCAGATTCTAAAAGTAGAATGACTTGTGGGATGGACTCTTCCATTCTTCTAACTGTTTCGCTGAGTTCAACTCCTTGGACGCCTTTAATACGAGTACTAACTCCCCTAAGATCAAGACCTGAAATTCCACCGGACAGCACGCCACGCTCCATTTGTCCATATCTAATTATATTCGAACATTTATTTAATCCTCGATTGATTTAAGAAAGGAAATATTAGTTGAATACGTAACATTGTGCTGACCCCAGAGTCTGTAAGGTAAAGAAAACTTATTCAAACCGAAAAATCTGTTGAAAATATTTTGATTTATATTCTTCCAATATATTATCTTTCATGCAGCTGAAACATCCAAAAGGGCAGGGAAGTAACTTTGCAGTCAAATCTAAAATTTAATTACCTTTGTTTAAAAGTTTCGAATGGAAGGTAGACTGCTTTCAATGTATCCAATAGAATATGCAGATCTGATTCAGAAAACAAATGTTGAATATTCCTGGCAAAACTCCCAGTTATGTTGTGTAGTTCTATCAGGGCCTCTAGATGTTTAGTCTGGATTTTGACACCTTTAGGCAAATCGCCTGATAAGATGTCTAATATACCTGAAATGAGAAGCGATAAGACATCAAGATGGAATTACATTTTAAAATGCAACATTGTAGGTGCAATTAACAGCTCAGAAACACAGGAACAAGGATGATGGCTATTAGATTACGATTACCAAACAGATCAAGGAAGTGAATTGAGATCCTTTCAGCCACGGAATTTCTATAACAGATGCATTATTGTATTTATTTTACAAGTGTGGGATTTAATATATGGCTTAAGGAAAGCACTAATAAACTATAAATACGCCCTCACTATGGCATACCCCATACGGAACTTACATGCCACAAAAAAAAAAAACTCAATTTCAACTTTTTACATCAAATCAAAGTGAAGAATTTCTTCACCAATACCACTGCTATTGCACCTTCTTTTATCTTTCCTGATCACAATAACTAAGGTTTTTGGGTGGTTCACTGGTCAGAAAGGGAAGTGAAAGGGGAAAGCGGATTGGGACTTATATTCTGGAGCTCAAAATGATATCAAAATATAAGAAAATAATTTTTTGAAGTATAACCTTTGGCCAATGCTTTAGTCTCAGGAACAACATCTCCAGTAGCAAGATTCACATGGGATATAAAACTTGCACCAATGGATGACATTGTCTCAATCAACAATTTTGGAACAAGGGTTTTGTAATCTTCAGGGAAACCAAGCGTGCACCTGAAGAGAAACATTATTAGGGGGAATGAATAATTTGTATCATCATACTCTACTATATATAAATGACATGTAAAAGAAACAGATTTCCCATCTAGTCAGAATTAGTACAAAAAAAAATTTCATGCCGCTGATAAGAATATTCCAAAATTCCCCAGCTTATACATATAGAATGCATTGACAAGTGCTTGTTATCACTGGAAAATGAAGCATTGAGGAATATTGCACAGAAAGTTTATCGATTGAGCATATAATCTTTCGCACAGCTTCTAGCATAACATGCTAATATGTATGTCTTGACCCTACAGTGATGCTGGCAAATAAGTACCGCACGACTAATATTAAAAAAAATTACAATTAAATAATAGTTAACCTTGAAAATATACCCTCACAATTCTGCATCACTAACATGAAAAAATAGAAAAGATATACTACTGTCGTTTAACACTTGCACCTTTGGCAGATGATAAACTCTGAAGACTGGGACGTGTAAGAGCACATCATGCTTCTCAACTAAGACCTTCAAAGTAATAGATGGTAGTATATCTAGAATATGCACGGTAATAATAGATTTACAAGACATATATTTGCTGCACACTTTTTAGAAATGACTCACATAAACTTTGTCCTGCTGAAAAATGCAAAATTCTTTTTGTTCTTTCACCTCTATATTTTCCTTCAACATATTGCAAATATTTCCTATTAAACCCTTCCCAAAGTCGCAGCCTTGTGTATCTAAGCTTCTTTATATGGGTCATACGAGCACACATACAGGTAAGGTAGTATATCTTTTTCACATGTAAAAAGGTATAGCAATTGAAAAGCACATAAGAAAATCTTTAGAAATAAAAAGAAGCAGAAATTGTCGCATTCTCAAATGCATCAGCATCACACATCACATACGGACTGTAAAAAATTGCGATAATCTATACAGGCAGTACCACTTCCATTCTTGTTCGAGATATAGCAGCAACTCATCGTAGAAATTCGGCAACCAGCGCGAGAATGAAATTATCGGCAAACTCGACTGTGAACCGAAGTTACTTGAGACCCTTCCCATTTCATGGTTCTCATTTGCAAGTTTATTAGACTGTTGCCTCAACTCAAAATCTTCCCATAGCTTCTTTATGGGTTTAAGGTGGACTTTTGTGTAATAACTCTCTAGAGACTTAAATCTCCCAATCCGAATGAGTATTCCCCGCATTTCTTGAGCAACATTAACCTGGAAAGGGAGAAAGGTATGATTCCCCAGTCAACTTGTAAAACAAAACTAGGAAAGGATCTGAGAAGTAGATAATAATAGAAATAATGATAAAAACTACCTTTTTGTTGTTCAATGCATCTGTTAAACGAGGTTGAACCATTGAGTCCAGTCTATCTTCTAGAACTTCAAGCTGCTTCCTGATATTAGCAAATTCCGCAACCTGGTAATTTGCAATGTATGAATCACACTATTTCACAGGTTCTCTGTCATGGCATGCTAAATTTGTTTAGACATTTAAAATATATATATACCTCTCCAACAGCAGTCAGACAATGCCTCATGTTAGCCAGCGTTTCAGCAGCACGTGGGAGGTCACCACTGGCAAATACATCCTCCACGGTCGAGCTTAGCTGCGTCAAGCCGGCAGCATCCTGTTTGACAGCAGAAACATCTTTTACTAACCAAAAAGAAACAAAGGACAAAATTGGCATGCAGCTGAATCCCAAACAAGGAGGTCTAAAACACAATCCAACCTGCAATGTCTCATATGCTGCTTCCATCCTCCGCTTGACTGTATCAACCTTGGCAAGGGTTGCGATTGATTCTGCAGAGGATCCCTCAGCCTGCAAAAGAAATTATGTCAACGCCAAACTTTCACCAACATACACATTTTTCACACACATTGACACTTGCACTCTCCAACTTTAACAGTTATAAACTATGCACATAATAGCATCAAATCACATCATTTTAAGCCATTAACCAAATTTCTCTTATGTGACATTCACAAACTCAAATCGGCACCTTCATTCACTCCACTTATTGCCTTTTAAGGTTTACCTATTGCCCGGTACCATGAATAAAATATGAGATACGAAAAAATGCAAAGATGAAAGTCACCAGTCATTTTTTATGCTATAATGCACGTATCCCCCGTCTCATAATTTTAGCTAAAATAACTTTATTGTTCTCAAATTCAAAATATCTCTTGTTATTGCTCAATCAAGCCCGCATTTGCAAAACAATTTCAATTCACATCGGAAATAATACCCTTCTAAATTAGAGCCAAGGGAGAAAAAAAAAAAAGGGGGGAAATAGTAACAATGATGTTATTGCAGATAACTAATAAAGGAGTTGAGTACCTTTTTGAGGAAGAGCAGGATGTTAGCAACAGATGATCGGAGTGAGAGTGCGTCATCTCGGAGGCGGAGTACATCGCGGGAGGCGCGGGGGACGCGGAGGAGTGCGGAGGAGCTCTGCTCCTCGAGTGAGGAGGCGATCTCCTCCGACACCATCTGCAGCTTCATTTCCAGATCCACCAGGTGCTTCTCCACCGGGTCCTGCGGGTGCCTCTGCTGAACCGCCCCGTTTATCCATCTTTTCGGGTCGAATTTCTCCTCTGAGAACGAGCTCAGATCCACCATCATTTTCGATTCGTCTTCTGTTTCCGATGGATCAAGTTGTGGGGGTTTTAGTTTCACCGGCTACTTTAGCCTTGACTCTCTAGAGGAAGATTAGCTGCTTAAATCGCATTAGCGTTTCTTCAAGTTAAAACGCGATTTAGGTAAAAAAAAAAAAAAAAAAAAACCTAATATAAGCTTAAATAAATTGGCCCGTTCTCTGAAACTGATAAAATAGGCCCGATAAGAATATAAAAGTAAGGCTTATTAAATCAGAAATGTAAGCCCGTCGGGCCCAAATCGTTCTCTAATCTTCCAGAAAGTTCTAGGCGTTTCTCGACTCTACTAATTTCAACGTATAGTACGTCCTTGCTATAATCAGGCGATGTTTACACTTTTGCTTTCCACAGTTTCAGTTCGTATACCCAAAATTCTCACTGCGTTTTCGTCTTTGTTCGAGCTTGCAATCAGACGTTATCTTCAACAATGGCTGCCGCCTCACTCGCCCTGAAGCGCCTCCTTTCGTCCGGAGTCCTCTCGAGGTCACTCCGTCCGGCTCGTACGGTGGTTCAGCCAGCTTCGTCGCGCGTTTTCAGCACGAACGCCGTCCGTGAGTACGAAAGCGATGACAGCGACGACGGCGACGTCGTTGGCCGACCAGATCGCCGTTTCTTCTCTCCGTTCTCAGGTAGTTGTTTCTCACTCTATGTTTTGGTGTTTTTAGCGCGTGTGTGTGTTTTGTCGTTTTGCTCTGTTCTCCGTTGGATGCTTGATATGGAGTTTTCACACCTGGTTGTGAAATATGATATTGCATCTGTTGCGTTTTTAAACGTTTTGAAAATGACCTAGATGTCCGCGAGTACGACAGCGATGATAGCGACTACGACGTCGTTTTATATCGCCCAGATCTCCGTGCCTACTCTCCATTCTCTGGTAGTTGTTTCTCTCACTGCATTTCTTTGTGTACGCTGCGTATTGTATTTTTTGTCATGCTATTTATTCTATATTGTTGGCTTGTGAATTTTGATATGTTTCTGTTGCATTTTTTACATCTCAGCAAGCTGTAGATGTTTCGATTTACTTGTATGGTGAAGGAATTATCTAACTAAATTATGTGTGATAGTGGTTATCGGAACTGAAATCGGATCGAACCATTTTTCGCAAGATCTAGCGCACACAGATCTCTTGTAGTTGTTTCTCTCACTCCATGATTCTGTATTTACTTGTGCGTTTTCGTATTTTCGACATTCTTTTCGTTTTACGTTGGTTACTTGATATATATGATGTGGAATTAGGTTGTCAAATATGTTTCTGCTGTATTTTTTACGATATATATCAGCTTAGTGCTAATTGTGTGGTGAAAGAATCATCTGGATACTTTATGTGAAATAGTGCCTTGTTGACACTGAAATCGGATTTAACGCGAAATAAATTTAAAGTTCAATCTATTTCTTATATCGAAGTGTAGTTACCAGTTAACAATTATGTTACTGATTTTACTTACATATACAGGGGTGTTTGATCCATTTTCGAGACGAAGCAACTTGAGCCAAGTTCTGAACATGATAGACCAATACATCGAGTCACCAGTTGCTGATTCCGGCCTTCGCCGGAATTGGGATATAAAGGAAGCTGACGAAGGGATTCATCTGCGAATGGATATGCCTGGATTGGGCAAGGAAGATGTGAAGGTTTCTGTGGAGCAGAACACACTTGTTATCAAAGGTGAGGGCAATAAGGATTTCGAGGATGATAAGGCTGGGCCTAGGTACACCAGCAGAATCGATTTACCGGATAAAATCTACAAGACGGATGCTATCAAGGCGGAGATGAAGAATGGGGTTCTCAAAGTGTTCCTTCCCAAGATCAAGGAAGAAGAGAGGACTGATGTTTTCCAAGTCAATGTGGAGTGATGTTGTTTCTTTCTAACAACTGCTAAATATGGTGAAGTGGAATTGTTAATAACTCGAAACAATGTGGTTTAATTTGATGCTGATTTAATTTTCGCATGGATGTGTTCCGTTTCGTTTCTTTGTATTCGGTGGTACTTCAGGGGTTAATTTCTGGTATATTTCTTCTTGGCGAAAAATGGTGTATCATGCCAATTTGGCTATTCACATGGATGTTGCATTTGTTCAATTTAACATAGTTTTTCGATAATGGTCGTTTACCTAACTCTTTGCACTAGTTTAATCTTTGTATTTGATTGCTACTGCACACTATTTTTGCAAATTTTCGATTCAATGTTAACATGCGATGTTGAATCTACAACGCCCTCGTGTATGAGTTGGGAGAGTTCTCGAAATTTAAGAAACAAAACAATGGAGAAGGTCAAGACATGTACTAATTAGCTAAGGCTAGGACTACCAGAGATGTAATTATAATATTTTATTTATTTATTTATTTATTAAGGAATTAATTAATTCTAATACTCTTATTTCTGGCCAAATATTGTGTAGTGGATTTTTTTTTTAAATGTCCATCTCATTGTAAGTAACATTCTTTAACAGTACATCCTAAATAGTAAATAGTAGTGAAAGTAAAATATGTAAGGAATCAGTGAAGGTGAGATAAAAACCCTAACCTCATGCAAGAACATATTGCATTAAATAAAGCAATCGAAAAACACAGGTTTACATATATTTATTCTGGGCCGGGGAAATTTTTAAAAGTGCAAAATAAAATATAAAAGCTTATAAAATCAGAAGCTGAAGCCCATCCGGCCCAAATAGTTCGACCATTCTCCGGAAGCTTCTCGATATCTCTCGACTCGAGTAATTTCTACATATTCGCGTCTTTTCTATAAAACACGACAAGCTGACATTTCCGCGGCCACCCAATTATCAAACCCTCAGAAATTCGCATTGCGTTTTCGTCTTCTTCAAGCTTTGTATCACACGTGAATCTTCAACAATGGCTGTATCATCACTCGCCCTGAAGCGCCTCCTTTCGTCCGGCGTCCTCTCTAGGTCCCTCCGTACCGTTCGTACGGTGTCTCTGCCAGCATCGTCGCGCCTTTTCAATACGAACGCCGTTCGCGAGTACGATAGCGACGACAGCGACGTCGACGGCGGCGATCGCCGGCGCCCCGAGATCCGTGTCTTCTCTCCATTCTCCGGTAGCTGTTTCTCTCAATCCGCATCTTTCTGCTTTACTTTTTTTGTGCATTTTTTCTTATTTTGCGATTCTGTTTCGTTTTCTGCTAAATAACCTGGCCGTGAAATTTCATACATTTTTTACTGCATTTTAAATATTCTCGGCGCGCCGCCGTAGATTTTTTGAGCTATTTTTCTGTGGAAGATAAATCACGTGAGAAATTGGTTGTTTAAAACTGAAATCGGTTGAATTTATTTATTTTTAAATCTAGCAGATTAATCTAGAAATTGATTCCAGTGGAAAAGTGTTGGTCGGAGAGCTATTCTTTGCTTGTGTAATCAGATCAGATCGGAATGCAATTCTCATAGCTGTAACGTAATGTTTCTCTGTTACTGAATTTACTTGCATGTAAATGCAGGTGTGTTTGATCCATTCTCAGCAAGGAGCAACTTTACTCAAATACTGAACATGATGAACCAATTCACGGAATCCCCTGTTTCCGCCTCCGCCTTTCGCCGGAACTGGGAAGCAAAGGAAACCGGCGAAGGTCTCCACCTTCGAATGGATATGCCTGGATTGGGGAAAGAAGATGTGAAGGTTTCTGTAGAGCAGAACACACTTGTTATCAGAGGTGAGGGCAATAAGGAATTCGAGGAAGATGGATCTGGCCGGAGGTACACCGGCAGAATCGATCTACCGGAGAGAATCTACAGGACAGACGGTATCAAGGCGGAGATGAAGAATGGAGTTCTGAAAGTTTTCCTTCCTAGAATCAAGGAAGAAGAGAGGACTGATGTTTTCCAAGTTAATGTTGAGTGATGCTTTTGGTTTATGTTGTTTGGGTTTACCACTAATTGCAATTAGTAGGATTTGAACTGTTAATTAACATGAAAATTATATATGAGATAATGTGTTTAGCTGCTGAATTATTTAGCATAAATAATCTGTTACTTACTTACTGTTCATTGATGTGCATTTTCTCTTAGTATTGTCGTTTGTTCGGTTGTTTTTAATATCGAAGAGGTGGTGTAAACGGGGCGGATCTGATTGGAATTAGTTCTTTATTTGGATGTGAAAAACTACCAAACCTAACTTGGAAAAATCGGGTTTTTGAAGATTATAATGAAAAAACTTTTTTTTATAAATCGAAACGTTTTGGATCAAAATCAATGGAATTTGGAATATTTCACATATAAGTTGAAATATTAAGAAGAAATTGGAATTTTTGGAATTATTCGGTGACTATAAGTTGGATTATATATTGGAACGATCTAAATAATTTCGAAAATACAGAAATTGGAATAAAAATATTATTGTAAGGTAGAAAAATTTCGAAATTGGAATAAAAATATTATTGTAAAGTAGAAAAATTTCGAATGAGAATCAGCGGGAAATCGGAAATAGACTACAATGGAAGAATCACATAGCTTTCAAGTGAATTTATTGTTATTTAGAAAATCACAAAGTTGAAGTTTTGAATTCATCAATTGGAACGATGAACACTAGCTACCTCACAAATAATGCTAATAAATCAACTGATTAATCAAAATTGTATCTACCACTAAGTAAATTAATCTCTTGATCAGCAACACAAGCCTCGCACGTGACATCTTCCTCTACTTCAGACCATCGCCTTTTCTTGTGATGCTGATCTCGGGACGTACAGCAAACCGGCGGCTCCAGCAAAACCGGGTTCTTCACCCAAATCATCTTCAGAATGCTATTCAAATTATTGCGGCAAATTCGAAGCCTTCTCTTCAATCCGTTCGTCTTTTTCATGTTCCCCAATAACTTGATGCCCTGTTGCTTGAGTTCTTCGTCCCCACTGAAGAGCAAAACGATGCAGGTTACATACAGCGCGCCCGTGTGGCCGCTTTTCACCGCTTTCTGTAAGTGCATGCACGTTGATTCCAGATTCGTTTTGTTGAAGTAGTCGAGCTGAAAAAGATTTAAAAAAAAAATTAATTTAAATTAACTAATTCGATAAAGTTCGTTGGTAATTAATTTTTGAAATCAAGAAACTTACAACTGCTTGTCTATACAACGACTCGGGGTTTTCGGATTGTAGGCACGTATTCAAGAACGTTACTTGTTCTTGGCTTATAGGTTTCCATGGTATGATTGGAACCTCGTCTAGCGATACATGTTGATACACGTACATATCTTCGGCGATTTCATTCAACATCTTGCAGCTGTGTCCAAAAAAAAAATATTATGTTTAGAAAAATTAAATATCTAAGGTATCGAAGATGATAATTACACGCACAAACACATACCGCTCAAGATTATATCAATTAATAATTAATAAAAGAAAACTCGATTTAACCTACATAATATCTGGATTTAAAATTTCAGTTTATAAAGAACTGGTTGAGATCGAAAAGAAACTTTAAACATCTAAAATAAAAAAATAGGGAAAAGAAACGAAACGAACAAAAAAAAAAATCAACATTCGTCAAACCATAATCATGCAAGAACAACTCTATAGCCCTAATCGTTGTTCTATTGAATTGGGAGGGTGGGTTGGTTGGGCTATGACGATTTAAATTTGATTCAACATGCCACATCAGATTTGCCTTTTTTTTTTTTTGGTAAATTCGTTATTTAGTTACATAATATTATGAATTTACAAAAGTACTCCTAAATTAGGTCTAATTACACTAGAATCCTCAACTTATAGAAGAAAAAAACATTGAAACCACGTCGTAAAACCATAATCATGCAAGAACATGTTTGTTGACGTTAATTATATAAATTTACCTTAATTTGGCATTGAAGATGTCCTTGATGGAAGACGATGCAACTCGGCTTAAAACTTCGGAAACCAATTCATGGGGAATGCTATCGAACATACTCGAAACAGCTTTAGTGTTTCTCTTCTTGTTATTGGGATTTCTTGTCATGGTGTTTATGATTGTTGGATTAATAATCCTTCAGGCGTGTGATTGATTATTATTTTTCTTTTCTTTCTTTTGTTCTTTTTTTTGATTTACTATGATAGAAGTTGAAGGTGTTTATATAGATGATTCAGAGATAGAGACCTGATCTAATTAGGAAAAAAATAGTTATTAATTGGTAATTTACCATATATATGTATATATATATTTGGTAGGATTTTGCATGTGTCACAATACTTCCATGTTGGGCATGCCTTAATTATTTATTTTCCTTATTTACTAGAACGAATATATGTACTTACCTTGTTGATCTAGGATTGAAATTTGTGTGCGGTGTTTCTTCTTCTTCTAGTACTACTACTATTTTTTTTTTTGGTATTAAATTACTTGACTTTTAATCTTATATATAAAATGAAGATATTTTGACCTATAATCCTAAACCTAAATCTATGACATTTTCGGTAATATGTGTTTTTGACAGTTTATTGTATTTATTTGTTTCCATTTTTTGGAACCTATAAGTGCCAAGTACGCATAACATAACCACGATCAGAATTTTCTGTTTTCATCTTATTTCTGTTTTGCCGTTTTTTGGGTGAAAATTAACCAAACTGACGATATGCTTGCACACGATCAAATTCCATGATATAAAAAACTGAAAACACGATCGATATCAAATCCACACTTGACACAAAATACGATCGATATCATCGTCCTGGATTCGGATTGGGAAGAGCCTTCACACAACTGTTCTACCGTTGACGGCACAATTTTGTGCAAGGGTTTTGTTTTTTGTAAAGAGAGATGAAACGGAAATTTCGAGTTTTCTTTCTTAGATGTATTCGAAACAGGATCTTACAAAAAAAAAAAAAAAATTTGTTTTCTTTCAGAAACATGTTTAGAAATTTGTTACTTTTATTTTGCACGATTAAATTTTTAAGTTTAACTTCTGCTGCTGCCGGTGCGGTGCTATCATTCAGAAACACGTTTTGCATAAAATGAATTGAATTTGTAACGACTGTATTAATGATAACAAAATTTCGTGAAACTATCACCATATATAATAAGAAAAAGAGAGTTGCATCATGCATGCATATCCACTAAATCAAATTGCTTCGTAATAAGTTGTTTGGGCAAAACTCTTTATATATATCCTATTAAAAAAATGCACATGATGCAACAAATTTAAAAACTCTCCTGTTTATTGATAATTCAGAGGCCCTCTAAAATGGCCATCAACTTCAACTGCTATTTGATTTTCTCAAAAAAAAATTGATTTTAAGTGTCTTTTTGTTCTTTTATTTTTCTGTGAACCTTAGCTTCTGTAATGAAATTTAATTGAGAACTTACATAAGATCATAAATTGCAAATGTGTTAGGAAGTCTAATTGTGCAACAAGGGTCAGGGAAACTGGATCATGATTTTGTCTGTAATGTATAGAATATAGTGATTGTGAATGCAACATATAAAACACATTCATTCTATCTGCATCAGGAATTCTTCTCCACCTTTGAACTTAGTCATAGACTTCCTTGCGTTTATTTTTGTTGGAGTAATAGTTCGACCACCTTTTTCTCTTATTTCGAGTTTATGTATATTTGCAATCTCTAATTATATTATAATTATATTATTATTCAAGTAATAAACTCCTCCTTATAATTAAGAACTACTAATAAATGGAATTGTTGAAAATACAGAGGCTCCTATATGCACAAGTTTCTTTATGACTCTGCAGTTTTGGTGATTGAAAGTTTGAAAAAATAAGTAACAGCAAGGACTGCGATTGCGTGACGAAAGAAGCTTTCCTATCAGACAAAAATGAGTGAACATTTTATTTTATTTATTTATTTCCCTTTTTCGTTTTCACTAACTTTGACAAATTTTTAAGCACTAATATTCAATTTTCAACCATACTTTGGTAAGTTTAGTCATCTGTTATTACCTCGGATAAATTATGGAAGCAAAGATGAAGAGTAATTGAATTACTAAAGGAAGAAAACAGGATATTTCGTGATGGATTAACCAATGGGATCCCATTATATAAAGAGTAATGGGATCACACTAAACGAGCATATTGTGCTTATTTCCAAGCGTTAGAGAAAACATTTAACATCTTAAGCCAAAAAAATAAAAGTATTGCAGATGTTTTTCAGTTTTCGGAAGATACCTCGAAATTCAAGATATTTCTACAATCTGTTACTATAATTTGTTTATGATGATGATATAGGATTTTCCTCTAATATTTGATTGTTTTTTTCTTTTCCTCATTGTTAGCTAGATTTGAACCAACATTGTTTATATAATGTTTGATTAATTTTTTTGTTTCCTTCATCTGTTTTATTATCATGATGATGAAATGCAAGTTTTACAAGGGTATGTTTTTTTCCTTAGATTTTTTTTAAGTTTTTAGTAGTAGCTATCAAATGCTTTTGAATATGTAAACCTTTAATTATTATTATGTATTTAAATGAATTACTTTTCCTATTTTGGAATGATGCCCGTGCAAGGCACGGGTGCAATTACTAGTTATTTAAAAAAATAATAAAAGGAATCGTTAGACCTCAAAATTGTGACAATAAATTCAATAGATCTAAACTTCGAAGTTCAAAATTCTATTGTTCCAACTACGCCCATTGAAACTTATAAAGATACCGAAATTATCCCACATGTGATTTTTTATAAAATTACTTAATATGAATATATATACATTATGTTCAAATAATTTTTTCAACGTTATTAATACTTGAGGTTAACTTTTTTTTTTTTTTTTCTCGGAGTTTACTTGGAAATAATTAATGACCGTGAATTCGCAGTACGTAAACACAATTTAATATCCCGCAAGTAAATACTTGTGATTAATACTTGAGGTTAACTTTTTTTTTTTTTTTTAATTCGCAGTACGGAAACACAATTTAATATCCCGCAAGTAAATACTTGTGGACCGCCTTCAAAGGTGAAATAAACAGTATTACAAGAATACACGAGAAAAGAAGTAAACAATCTTCCCTATTATGAATGTATTTTGCACGCGTCCTTCGTACAATCAATCGTCTGACTACTTTCAATATATTCAAAATGTGAAATTCATTTTTAATTCTATCAAAACCCTATCAAACTTAAGTAAAAAAATTGTAGAGATTATACATTTCAAACCAATGAAGCAAATACAAATTGAGACATTGTGACATTGAGTTCAGAAATAAAGAAATACAGACCTTCCCATTCGGCTAACATTTGGATTATTGAATGTCCAAACAAGACAGAAAAAGACGAAAAGAGTGCGTGCGCGCGCGCGTGCGTGTGTGTGTGAGAGAGAGAGGGGGAGGGGGAGAGAGAGTCAAAACTCTTTCAGACAAGTTCCCATATTTGCTAAAAACCATGATGTATCCTAGGCAATAAATCTTCCATTACATCTTCCAATCTTGATTGAATGGATGGCTTCTCTCCTTTATTCATCCCAGTACTAATTTCTTCCAACATCTTCATTACTTCAAACATTCTAGGCCTTCCTTCCGGTGAAAAAGCAACGCATTCCATCGCTATCTGCAGCAACTGTACCATTGCCTCGTCCACATCTTTATACCTCAGAATCTCCACATCAAACACTTCGTCACTCCATTCTTCACGAACAACCAATTGAACCCACCTAACCAGTGAGACGACATCACCTTCTTCATTCGTGTGCTGAGCTGGCCTTCCCGTGGCAAGTTCAAGCAGCAAAACCCCAAAACTATACACATCGCAAGCTTGTGACACGTTGCTCGTGTCATTCACTTCTGGGGCAAATTGTCCTAAATTTCGCACAACTGACCTTCTGATAGGCTCCACCAGTTTTGCCAATCCAGCATTCGCTACAAGCCCGTATTTTTGTCTGTTTAGGAATATGTTTGACGATTTTATATTTCCATGCACAAATTTCCCACCATCTTGTCTGTGGATGTGGGCAATACCCTTTGCTGCACCCACTGCAATTTTTAGACGAGCCTCCCAATCCAAAGGTCTCCAATCAGGGGCTGTCTTGTCTGCAAAGTTGAAGCAAATGGATTAGTTAATATTTGATAATCACTTTCTTTCATTTTATCTTCGAATTTGTACGTACCGTGTAAGAATGCAGATACGCTGCCCCGATCTTGATAATCATACACCATGAGCTTTTCATCTTGCGAAAAGTGGTACGCCCTTAATCTATCAACATTTCCGTGCCTCATTTTTCCAATGATCTGGGATTGGTGGTGAAATTCATAAAGTGTAACAGTCACACCCTTCAATCTCTTGACCAAGACATCAGTTTCCGACAACATTGCCTTGTAAGAAGTGCCGAATGTCCCTTTCCCGAGAACCTCGGCAGAAGCCCTCAACAAATCGTCGAGCTCGAATGGATGATTACCATTCTCAACAAACACCAGCTCTTTTTTATTTGTCATTTGAATATCGCCACTTTTCGTGTTCAGATTGCTACTTTCTGTATTCATCATCTGAAGATCCTCTAACATCTTCACTACTTCAAACATTCTCGGCCTTTTCTTTAGAGATTTTGCTGCGCAACTCATTCCTATTTGCGCCATCTTCACCATGTTTTCCTTTACGGTAGAGTTCTTCAATATATCCACATCGAATACCTTAGCAAATTTCTCATTCCTTTTAACAGAATTAACCAACTTGACCAGGTCAACAGCCTTGGGACCATTTACAATATTTACAGGGGACTTTCTAGTGATGAGTTCAAGAAGCAGAATCCCAAAGCTATAGACATCTGATGCTTGCGAAACATTTTGAGTTTTCTTGATTTCTGGAGCGTAGCACAGTGCTTTCGGCATGGATGTTGCTGTTATCATGTTCGTCAAACCAAGATCAGACACACACCCATAGTTTAGTGGATTGAGGAATATATTAGATGCCTTTACGTTTCCATGGACAAGATTCCCACCATTATGTGTATGTATTTCAGCGATACCCCTCGCTGCACCAATTGCAATTTTTAGCCTCGTGTCCCAGTCTACAGAAGCCCGATTTTCGCCAGTTTGTCCTGGAAACATGAGAACATGCATAAGATCATTTATATTTCACTTTCGCCTACTTAGCGTGTGACAACTATGTTGGTTGAAGCAAGAAATAATGACACTAAATTGATGATATTTTTCAACCAAGTACTGAAACAACAATGAACGAACCACTAAGGTTCCATTTGAAGGATTTGGAGCTAAGGATTTTAAATCAATAATAATAAATCCAGTTGCTTCATTTTATACTAGTTTCAAACTGTTAACTCTTCGATTGAATTATTCTTTCTAAGTTATTACATACTGGTGGATTTGTAATCAACTTCATAGGAAATTACAAAAAATCTTTTCCTCAAATCGAAATTCTTGCATTTAAATGCAACCTAGTAGATGTTTACACCCAACCCTGATTACTTAGTCAACCACCCCAGTAAACTGATCACATGGAAAGGAAAGAGAAATATTTAAAGAGGAGGGGGGTGATATTAGCAGATACCTCGAACTCTTAACCATGACAATACTTAGAAATCACCGCAATTAACACCTCAATAACAAGTGAAGTTAAAGAGTGTTGAACAGTCCAACTTAATAAATAGTTACCAAACATACCATGTAAAAGTGCAAACACGCTTCCATCGCTGTAATAATCATAGAGCATCGCCCTTTCATCTTTCGAAGTATAGTATGCCCTTAACGCAACCACATTCTGATGCCGCACATTTCCAACAATCTCCACTCTACCCTTGAACTCCAGTTCCGAAAGATTCGCAGAATCCAGCCTCTTCACCACAATTTTTAACCCATTTTCCATCTCAGCAGTATAAGCACTCCCGAAAGTGCCCCTGCCGAGTAACTCTGCATGAGCCAAGTACACATCTTCGACATCAAACTCTGCACCAAAATCCGAAACCAAGATCAGCTTTGGTGGCTCTTTCTGTAGCTTCGATAAAATTCCGAGGCTCGTAAAATCAAAGGCTAGATCTTGATAACTCAAATCAAAGCTAGAACTGGAACTGGAATCCGATGCTTCAGAGCGGATGCTTGGGCTCCTGGATTGCTCGTGAAAAAGTTGCCAGAGCTGAACTTTCTTTAATACAGCTGCAACCAGCCTCTCCCAGTTGTCATAATTTGCAGACATCTTCTCCTAAAATTATGTCCTGTAAAAAAAAAAACTGCTAAATTATGTACTGATAAAAGGTTTTATGCAAGATACCAGCTTCATTACTCCATTGTTGAAACTCTAACACGGAATCGTAATAAATTATATTTTGTTTATGACCGTTGACATTGACTTGGTCAGAAGTTTCGTCGTTCTTTCATTATGTGAGCAATATTAAATATTTCATCTAAAGCTTCTGAGAGAGATATATCAGTACAAAATTATTCTTTTGTAGAAAATTCAACAGCAACCAGGAAAGAAGGATAAGCTGCGTTAGACGAACATTACAGTGAACTTCCTCAAATTCAACTCAGGCAAGAATTGAAAATTAAATAAATAATTTCTAGGTCAAGCTCGAGGAAAACTACATCATATCTCCAATATATTTCAGAAATTCGAAAACAAAATGCGTACCGGTGCACGGTTGGATAATTCCCCCATCATTTTGTAAGCAAGGAAACGATGACCGATAAGACCGCCGGAAAACGATGAGCTTTGACGTTGAAACCATTTTCTATAAATTGAATACTCCGATCTGCCATATACCACGATCATGGAGTTTGGCTTGAGTAATTTCTCTTTCATCGCAGCTCGTCCATTTTCCTGACATGACGGCGACGGTGGCAGCTCCGGCAACGGTTGCAGAACCATGGAGAACGGTTTGGGGAAAGACAAACGCTACGACGGCGTTTTGGCTCTGGAAATAAATTAATCAGAAATTGAGATATGGGCTGGAGCAATTAATTAAGTGGATTCAGAAAAAAGTTATAAGGCCCAATCGGGCTGGATTGACTTAACGGGCTATCAGCCCGTAATTATTGAATAAAATATATTTTATTTATTTATTGTAGAGGCAGATAATTTATAAATTTAGCACAGTTATAAGTTTTAATCATATTATTTCAAATTTTAATAAAAAAAATATATATCTAAAAATATATATTTCTCATATGTTTGAAATGCACTACATAATTACATAATAATATGTATATTTATAAATGGGCGTGCTAAATCCTAAACTAAAAGTTACTAGATCCCGCACACAAATTAAAATATTTCTCTCTCTATCCATTTTTTCTTCCACTTCTCTCTAACATGTTTTTTTCTCAAAATTATTCCCTTTTCCTTGACATAATAATCATATATTTTTTTAAATACTTATTAATTTATTTATAAATCAATTATTAAAAAAACATTTATTCAATATTTAATAAGTACCTTTAATTATTGTTTTAACACCTTAATAACATTAGTTAAATATTTAATTAACAATAATTAAATATTTAAAAAATTATCAACCAATTAGAAAATAATTATTATAAAAAAAAAAAAAAATTGTCAAGCTAATGATCTGCTTTGCTCTCCCAGTTCCTCTTCTACACTACCCCAGGTGATCTAAGTAATTAGCATCATCATTTTGGCGCCGTCTGTGGGAACGATGCAAACCAGATCACGTAGCCAACAAGATCCTCCTGAGGCGTCTGCTCGGAGAGAAAATGACACAGCTAACGACCTCCCACCTCGTGGAGGCTCTGGCTTGCCACCTCCTCCACGTCCCATGGATCCGCCTCGCGAGGTTCAGGTGATCCCCCATCGGGACCCACCACTCGCCGATCCACCATTCCCTGCTCCTCGAATGGTTCAAATAACCGAGGATGCGCTTCGACGCATGATAGCAGAAGCTTCAACTCGCGCTGCCACAGAGGCCGTGACCCAATATATCGCCACGATGGGAGCAAATGCTCCCAACGCGATACCAGCACCTGCTCCACATGTGGAGCCACCTATGGCACCACCGCCATCGACTCCCTGGGGGCTTACATCTGCCCCCAAAATATTCGCTCGCCAAGGGTTATCGACTCCCTGGGGCTTACATCGCCCCCAAAATATTTCGTTCGC